CAAATTGAGAAAAAGATTCAAGTAAATCCAAGTTGGTTGTTGCCTACAACAAATACACATATCAATTTTGAATAAAACAAAGTTGAATGATGGTGCCTAAGCCAGTTCATCGAATAGTTCAATCATAAATTATTTTACACACAAAAAAAAACGAGCCCAGCAAAGCGATAAGAAAATGACTGGGAGAGAAGAGAAGGAGAGAAAAAAACGGCAGATTGAAAATGTAGTGTTTAGCCAACAGGCAGATGAAAACAAAACAATTCGATGACGAAGACGACGATCGTTGCAAGGCAAAATACTACTACTAACAATTATAAAATATAGAATATCCAGCGAACACAAAAAAAACATATATGTTCTTGCACAACAACCACGGCACACACACACATCATACGTCCAATCGAAAACTTGAAGATTTGTTGAAAAAACCAACACACATACAAAATGAAAACGAATCTAAAGCAATAATACAAGAACACTCTCTGATAGAAATAACTCCAACTGGAGAAAAGTAAACGAAGACTCGAAATGAGGCAATGCGGCAATTATCTTTTAGCTGTTAGCTGTTGGCTAAATAAAATGTTTGGAATATACAACGAATATGAAATCAATTTCAATCAAGGAAGACACACGAAAAATATACGAAGACAAATACAGCAGCACAACAAAAAAAAAACACATAACACACAGTCGGGCCGTTTGTCAACAGAATTTGATTGGAGGAATTTTCGTTTAATCCTTAACGAGAGCTCTAGCGCTAAGAGCGAATTTAATGAATCGCCAAATATAGAGATTTAGAGCGGAGAGAGAGAGAGAGTGCAAATGCATTAAACCCAAAAATAATCTTTGTGCGCAAAACTACAAAGAACGAAACAACAGTAATGCAGAAAAGAATGAGAGAGATTGAACAACATACACATGAACAGCCTTCACAATGTTATTTATTGAGATTTGCCGTATTTTCTTATCATATTCTTTTGCGCATTAGTTTCAAACGCACATATTATTTCTTTTCGTCTCTTGCTATCACTCTTTCTCATTTAAGACGAATCAAATTCAATCAAAACGTGATCTTCTGAATAGTTCAGTACTTGTATTATTCTTTTTCACTCACGAATGGATGAGTGAGTGCATGTTGATGTTAAGCTATCAAATGTCAGTCAGAAAAAACAACAACATTTTTTTTTAAGAATTTCACAACTTTGTTGGCCCAAAGCAAAGAGATATAGTAGAGAATCTAATTGAAAGAGGTCACATTTGACATACATTGTTATATGTAATATGTGTGTGTGTGTATGTCTGAGCATACAAGTACTTATTCAAACATGCCATTAGAAAATTGATGTGTGTGTGTGTGTGTTTGTGTATTAGTGAGTGTGTGTGCACGGATATGAAATAAAATTGACAGGTGGTCGATATCATATGTAATTGGTGTGCCTCTCTCTGCAAGCCTAGAGTGGCAATACGATCGACATTCAATGATGAAATCGAGTAGATTTTTTTCTTTACATTTTATATCTCTACACAGTTACCTTAATGCGTTTTCTTTCTCTCCCTCACACGACCGCTCATTCTTCGTTTGTATTTTTTTGGGTGTGTTTTCATACTGTACTTGATATTTTGAATTCGAACAAAATCGAACTTAATATATTATCTCCTTAAATCACATCCACTTCACTGATATTGAAAATCTCTTGTCGGGTTGCGGCGCAAAGTTTACGTTATTTTATTTTTTTCGTCAGGATTTCTCAAGTATCATCTTATCCTGTTTTCTTTTCATTATACGTTTACACCAAACGCATATAAATCGAAACATATTGTAATGATCATAATCATTGCCGAAAAAATCATTATAGAAAACTTTTTTTTTCTTTCAAAAAGAACTTATACGATTGAATGTTATGCAATATGAAAAGGCGAACCGCTGTCAATTCAGTCAAAGTGGTTCAATGAAGTTTTAGGTTCGCAATCAGTTCATCTCGTTTTATTGTCGAAAAAACGAGAATAATGCAATTTCAACTCCAGATGCTTTTTCTCAATTCGTTTTATTTTCTGTATTTTGTATTTTTCGATATGGTTTTTTTGGCAAAGTTTCTTTTTCGTAATAAGTGGCAAGGATTAGTTGGCCAAACAATATAAAACCAAAGTGAAATAACATTTACAATGTAAAATCAAATCAATTTTGAACATCCAACCACACGTATTCAGGCTTTATCTTTTCTTCTTTCTCTTCGTTCGAAATCTCTCGGTTGTTTTTGTTTCGAATATTTTTCTTGAACGAATTGAAAAGGCAATGTGTGCCTGTGCAGCATGAAAAATTATTTTAATCACTGAATTTTTTTTAATGGCATTAATAACGAATCTATTTGGCTGAAAGCAGAAAAAAACGTACATTAAAAATTGAATCAAGCAATGAAAAATATAGCCACAATGACGGTGTATAAAATATTACTCTTGATTTTTTTTTCCTCCACTTCTATACTTTACTCGGTCTCTTTCGTTCGTTCTTTGTATGTTTGGTTTTGTCGTAATTTTGATTATGATTATGACTAAGCAATAATTGTCAGAAGAAAAATTATGTTCTATGAAGAGATTGTTCGATGGTGATAAGGGCTTCACTCTCATCCATTTTCTATATAATATATAATATAAAATGAGCGGACGTTTTTGTTCACAAAAAATATATACATATATGTGTAGTTTCTTTGTTATTATTCATCATCATCATTTCGATGGTTATGTGTTGAAGTTTCTATCTAAATATTGTTTCCCGAATGAAATTGACGTGCTTTTTTTTCGGATTTGTGTTAAGGTGAATACAACGATTTTTTTTTTCACTCTTGGTCTCTCATCCGAATGAGATTTTCAAAACCATTTATGCCATAGCGAACGTGATATTAATGGGTTTTTATCCAACGTATGTACTCAAAGCATTCTATGCACCGAAAATTGCTCGAAAGAATGATGAGATTTAGTGGAAAAAACGATGAAAATTAGTAGCGGCAGCATTCAAAACGTATGCGTGCGTGTGTGATCACCTTTTTTTTTATTTCAGAAACAAAAAAACTTTATGAAAAACTACGAGAAGTGAATTTAGGATATAAAAAGTGTTTTAATTTTTTTTCTTTATTATTAGTGGTTTTTTGCCTGATATTTTTGGGCTATGGACTTGAATCGCCTTTTTTAACGTTTCGTGTTGCCATCATTTTTGGAACTCATTATGAATTTCAAGCAACTCCGTTTTGATTTTTTTTTAAAACCGCACACAACAGAGCAACAATCAAAGCGGCGTCCACAGAAAAAAATAGCCAATTTCAGTGTATAATCCATTGACGAGATTAATAAACACTGAGTGGTTTATTTTCGGAAAATTATATGAAAACGAAAAAAAAAAAAATTAAGTCACGAACACTTTCTTATTGAAACGAGAAAAATAATGAAAAACAAAAAAAAAAAACACACACACAAAACGACCGAAAATTCGATAGCCAAACAGCACGCTGAGCTCAAACATGAGAGACATGCAGACATTTGCAGTGTTGAAACATAAATTTAAGAATAAATACTAATTGAACGGGCGCACAGCAGCATCCGGTAATCAAATCGACTGAACAAAATACACTTAAAAGTAAAAGAGCGAGTGATGATAAAAAAAAATGTATGAAAATTGGTAGAAAAATAACGATGATCTGCTGTAATCAAGTATTGGCCAATATTTATGCCACTTTTTCAAAATTCGACAGGCTGAGAAATTTGTTCGCTTTACACTTTCGATTGCGAAAAAAAATAACTATATGCACTTCATGTACTGAATGGTCGTGTGTGTGTGTGAAAAGTGAGAGAGAAAAAAGTGCAATGAAGTAAATTAACGTGCATATGCACTTATGAAATCAAGTGGAGTTGGCAACGAGACGAGACATAATAAGTCTCTCGTGAGTCAGAATAGAATTGGCGAGTAGATTTCAAAATTACGGAAAACAACAACGACGACGTTCGACTACAGCGAAGAAACAAAAAAAAAATTCAACTTAAAGAATGAAAATGCAAAGAGAGGAAGAAGGTAACAACGGTCCCAACAACTTCAAATGTGAAAAACGTGATTGTGTATTATGAGTAATTGTGATGCATAGATTACTTCAATCGAGAGTTCAGTTCGATGTGCGAGAGCAGAGTACACACAGTAAATTTGCAAAGAAACAACGTTATTGTGTGTGTGTATGTATGTATATGATTCGCTTCCTATTGAACTCGACGAAAGTGAATTGAGTGTTGCTGTTGTTGTTTATTCTTCTTCTTCTTCTTCTTCGTTTTCGTTGATTGCTCGAATCACATTGAATAATGTAGAGCTATAGATCACACATTGGTAATGTTATTTTTTTCTGTTTCATTGTTGTTGTGTACGCGCCACACAGTGCATACAGTATGGGAAAATTCATTTCGGTTATGTGTATATAAAGATTGCAATTCGTCGTTTCTTCGCCAAAGTATCCGAAATACAAAAACAAAATCATCACATGCAATACAGTCGTAGGCCGTCATTAACCAAAGTACTATAATAATCTAAAATCAATGTTCCTCTCTTTTGCAAATGCAATTCACAGTACGATCAAACAAATAATTACAATCAAAATGATCGCGCGCACTCTACGTGCGATTCAACCGAAGAATGAGAGGAGAGAAAAAAACCCCTGATGGTTTTTGTGTGTGTTTATTATGTATATATTTATTTATAGTTGCATGGTGCTTGAATTTTCTATAGAAATCATTTTTTTGCTTCATTCACATCATCATAATGTGCGTTTTTTTGTGGAATGGACGTATGTATTGTTATTTACTTATGCAGCAGAAGTCGATTGGATTTCAATTCGTACAGGAAATTGTTCAAGTTCTTGTTGAGTTTCAATTTAATTAAAGCTCAGCAAGACTACGGCGATATTGTTGTTTTTTATTTTTTTGGTGTGCTATGACGAAAGATTTTTTTGGTTATTTGTTCTACTTACCAACTTGCAAAACATTTTCCACACAATTCGATTCCAGCAGTTTGAGTCCCTTGCAAAAACTTAGATTTTGTGTTTCACCAGCGTTCGTTGACGAGACTCTATATTATTTGTTGAATATGAGAAAAAAAAGAGAATCAAATGATTAGTACACTTTGCTAAACAAAAAATTAAAAGGGAAATGAAATGCGAAATGTTTAAATGGACCCGAACAAAAAACCGAAACATTACCATTGAATTCACATCCATTTACATTCTGTTTTCGATCATGTGAACAAAAATCGAAGCATTTCGACCCTAATTGCACACCGATTTAAAGCGAACAAACTGCAAAGCAGCGAAAGAAAAAGTAAATTGTATGCGAAAGATGTTTGTTTGTTCTCACACAGTTAGTGCGTTGTTTGTTCCATCTTAATAAGGGTTAATTAGACGAGAGAAGAGAGAAAGAGAAAGAAGAGGCCTATACACTGATGCTAGCCAGCATCTGACTGTGAAATGAACTAGTAATTTAAATTAAAATTTTATGTGTATGTTTTCGAACAAAAATTGCGTCCGTTAGAAGGCCAATGCCATTGCAACAAACATTTGCATTGAACAACATAACTGCACAGTGTGCATAGCATGCACTTTTTAAAAAAAGCGAAAATCCAGAGGAATGTTTAATTTTTCTCATGAACCATTACGCTAATGAAAATAATAAAAAAAAAATACACACACATAACCCACCAACCGTGATTAAATCAAGGTAAGACAAAGAGAACGAGCGGAGGAGAAAAAAATGCCAACAACCATCAAAGACGAACGGACGTTCCAAGAAAATAATTCATCATATTTCGGCGCTTTCATTTTGGCTGTTTTATTTTCCATAAATCGTGAGAACCGCATCAAAGTGAACCGAAAATAAATGCGTCTCACAATGAGAAGGATGTGTGTATGTGCTGTGTGCTCATTAATCGAGAACGAAAGCGTTTTTGAATTTTGATTAAATCGCAACACATAAATTTACGTTGTGTTTTTTTTTTAAATCTCGATTAGAATACCAGAAAAAACACTCCAACCACTTCCTGTGTAATGTGCGCATTCGTTTTGGTGCGAACAAAAAAAAAATGCCCGAATTCATCGAATTAAATGAAAAACTATTCGAATTGGAAGTCAATTGAAGGTCGATTGAAAACAAGCAACAACACAAAGCAATAACTAGTCATAAATGTCTACGACAAAAACAAATTTATTTCACAGTAAATCAAATGTATAAACCGTCTCAAAATGGTGAAGTGGCATATGTGCGCATCACCAAAGAGACAGCGAGAAGGGAATAAAAAAAGAGATTCGAATGAATAATCAAGCGCAAAATGAATGGCGCAACAATTGTGACGGTTAAAAGCGATTCACCGCCTTGGATCGCTTTGCGAACCACAAATTTGTTACAATATATAATTGTATATAAGGAGCGGCCTATGATTGTTGTGGTCAATGTGCTATGTATATGTTGAAAGAGGCAAGTGCTTTTTTTTGCTTTTGATTAACTGCCCGTTCGACGTCAATGTATACACATATTTTTCGCCATTATCGGCAAAAATCAGCACCGTTTGAGGCATGAAAAAGCACACATTGACGTTGATTTTGCTGTCATTGTGGTCGCCATTGTCGTCGACGACAACTAATCATCAAGAGCCATTTGGCTTGACCACAAGACGAACAACAGAAGAACCAAATGTGCCAATTGAATTCATTAAATAAATCTAAAGACCAACAATTGTTCCGATATTTATATTGAAGTTCTTTTCATCGTTCGAACACAGAGAGAGAGAGATGAAGGATACATACAAAGTTGGTGCTGAACACATGCACAGAGAGACAAATACAAAAAAAATGACAATTTAGTTACAAAATATGCAGTACAATGCGTCATATACCAAGTAAATGAATGAGATGTGTTGTTGGTGTTATTGTTTGTTTGTTTATTTTTATCGTGCATTTGGATCGGTGAATTGAGTAAACAGATGTTCATCTCTGTCCCAGCATGTTGTATATAAGAAGAGTTAATGTGTGAGCAAACGCCAGCGCTCCCACTGCATGCCATGGCATATAGTCAATCAACCAACCGATGATGTTTAAAAATATACTCTTACTACTGGTGGCAGAGAGATAGCTTTGTAACTTAACTGCTGCTGTTATATCCACTGTTGCCGCGTTGTTCTTGGTTGGTGTGTTGCGCGCATAACGAGAAATGCAAGTGACAATGTTCGAAAAGTTTTACGATTTGTGCGTGTTGTCTTTTGTTTCATATTTATGTGTGGTGTGTTTTTTCATTCGGTCTTTCATCACATACATATCACCTCCTTGTTGGTCACTTTGCTTATTGTCATTGTTATTCTGAAGCGTTTGAGCGTGCGAAAGAGAGCCCAACAATTGTTAAACAAAGTGCCAGAAAGAAAGAGTGAATTCACATGAATTTGACTTTGTTTGCCGCTGTCATTTGTCTTTATTACAGGCCAGTGCAAATGAATAACAACCAATTTAGTGGGGAAATTAAATATGTGTGTATATGAGTGCCGGTCGATGTCAAGTTTAATGAAATCTTTGTGTATTTGAAGCGTTTATTTTTCGTCTTTGTTTCTCTGTGTCGTTGAATTCGAATCGGTATTCTTTCTTATATTAGCCACCTTCATTTTTATTCACCGCAGTGTCAATGTGTTGTCATTCGGACGCTTTGAACTGACACGTTATATTTCAACAGAAAAGAAACCAAAATCAATTTCAGTTCTGAGAAACAGTACAAATGCGTCACAATTCAATGAATCGTTCATGTGGACGACAAGTCAGACCGAATGAAACAAAAATGAGTTAAACGAATGATGCGCGCACACTCTTTTTTTCTCTTCTTCTTTGAAATATGGTCATAATTAGTATTCTCAACCAATTTCAATGTGGCATTTTATTAACTCAACTTGGCCACGCATCGAGCCAAAGCGATGCTGTGACCACTGTTCCCCGTCTCTTCGACAATCTTTTACTCTCTGGACAACAACCAAGTGTTATTTTTAAATTGACACGTATGGTACAAATATACGAACAGAGAGACAGGTTTTATGTGCATTTATTTAGAACGTAATACTTAAAATGGCAATAAAAAAAAAATAAGAGAAAGAAAACTTATCAACAAAAGGATAAACCATTTCATTTATATTGGCGTTGGTATAATTTACCAATGGAATGCATGTTTTGTATGTATACATTTTAAACCACATGAATAAAATACCTCCTATAAATGTCTCTCTCTCTCTATCTTTCTTACATTGTCTCTGTTTCAGTGGACTAAAGAAATCAACGCGAACTAAACATTTTGTTGAATTTGTGTTGTTCTATGATATTTTTGTTTCGTTTCTTAACAATTTCTAGTCGGGATGGATTAATGAGACGTCGCACCGGAGGAGAACAACAAAAAATGCATGCGCCAAAAGGCCAATGTTTTCGAACAATTTTATGAAACAAATGTGAATGCAACCGCAAGGCAAATGGATAGCCTAATGAATATTTAATTCGAAGCATCTGAAAAAATGCCAACAGCGATAATTCAACAAAATGAACAAACAATTATGAACCCCAAAAGAAATGACTTTGTATAGTGATGGAATTGTTTGCCGAAATCTAAAGAAAGAAAGAAAAATAATTAATATCGACCGGATCCCGACCGAACACACAAAAAAAAAAAACCAAATGATATACGACGGTTGTTTTGTTTTAAGGGCGAAATGATAATTCAAATTATATACAAAGTGATGCACACGTTGCGGTTTTTTGCATATTTATTTTTATATTTATTGTTGTTGGGTGTTTTCTTGTTGAAAACTGAATGTTTACAAAAAAAGTAAAATATTGCTGTTGCTTTTTTAGAGATATGTTCTTTACTGCATTCAGAAAAATATCATCGAAAAAAAGGGGAGAAATAGATCATGAAAAGGCTAGAGTTAAAAGATTGCCAACTAAAGTTCATTTGGTTGTGTCTTTTTTTTTCATTCAAAAAAAGGTAACACATTGCAAAAGGGATTCGAATTTCCATGAAATATATGCAGTTCAATCGAATCGCTTCATATAATGTGTTGTGCCAACAACATTTGCCCAAAATGATTCACTTCATTAATTCGGCTATTGAACCAATATTTTGCGATATTTTCTGTTGAATGAAATGGATCGAAAAGAAAATGAAAATAAAAACGAATTGTGAGAACCTTTACGGTTAAAGTTACATATAAATATTGCGACGTTCATTTTAAGTGACGATGGGAGAATTGTGTGTGTGTGTGTTTTTTTTATGTGTTGTATTCGCCTTGTACATGCAACAACAAAATATGAAAGTAAAGATCGAAAAGTCAAAGCGATTATGTCACTTAAGGAGTTTAACCCGATGTTATTATGTTTCATTTAACAATATATTTACTTGATATTAGTCAGCATTGTAAAAACAATGTACGAATATGCATATGTGAATGTGACCAAGAGGTAAACAAAATGTACGTATGAAGATATAAAATAAAAATCAAATGAAGAGAGAGAGACAGAGAGAAAGCGCACAGCAGAAAATAAGCTGAGACAAACATACGGTGCGAAACGGTATGGTTGCGCGTACACAGCACACTTGCAAAGTGCTTCGATTGCGGATTTGGCGATGAAGTAAGCGAGCGCACGAGAGATGAAAATAGTCAAATCGAGAAAATGATGAAGAAAACGGGATGGTAAATGGATAAACCGATAAACGCGTATTTGATATACACATTTCAATGGTATGAAAATATACATATTTGATTTTACTCACCTTGACAACGAACTATACATGCAGATATCACGTTCATTTCGCGGAAACGACCAAAATATAATGCGCCGTTGAACAGGTTCAGGTATTCTTTCATACCGTTCTTCGATACGCTGAAATGGTTCCGATTCGGCAACGATACGTGCCGTTATATCCAACAATGAATCGGGCTGACGAATAACGTCCGTTCGATTTGGATTATGTGAATGGCGATGTGTTATAAACGGACACATTTGACCCGATATTGTTGGATGATTGCTATTTGGTTGGAATAGACCATGACAACAGGACATGGTTTCTGCCTTCAACTTTGTTTTTGTTCTATTTCTACTTCTTCGTCTTTTCCTTCTTCTTCTTCTTCTACAGCTTCGATGTGGTACTTTATACTAATTTGTCTATAAATTTTCCTTGTTAAATACACTTTCTTTGTTGCATGAGAAAATACACTCTTTTTTTCTATTTTAAGCGGAAAAAATATCGCTAAACTTCAAATAAACACATCTACGATGCCATGATTTGGATACCCGCCTACTGTACTTGGCTATTGATCGATGTTGCTGTTGTTGTTGTTGTTGTGGTTAAACATTTCAAATGTTGTTACGTTGCTACACTTAAAGCCAGAAGCCAACCTCATTTTTAACTCGTTGTGTTGACCTGAAACAAAACACCAAAATCAATTAATCCAACTTTAGCAAATAACTTGACAACAAAAACAAATGATAACATATAACACAATATAAGTCCAAAGTACTCTCGATTTATGTACACATAAACATCCGCATTGAAACCAAAACAACACACATGCACACTCGAATGAAAAAGCAAACAACAAAAAAACACATCATATAATATATAAACGGCAAATATCCGATCGGCGACTGTAATCCTATGCGCTTTTGTTACCAAATGAAAATGATTATGCTGTGCGGTGCTGGTGTTCATTCAACTCGATATGAAAACTGTTTTCGTAAGTACATTCTACGACACAAAAATAATATATACTGAGCACAGAAACCACACACAGCGCACTATCATACAACCTGACTTATTTCGTTCATTGAACAAAGAGAAGGGAGAGAGAGAGAGAGAGAGAGAGAGAGAGAGAAGAAAACTGCACAGAAACAAAAACTAAGCATTTGGCAAATTGTAATTCCGAAGCGAATATAAAAAAAAGAGCACCAACAATCAGATAGAAAATTCGTTGCAATAAATGTAATTCAATACGAAAATCAAAATATACACCAGTGAATATGTGAAACAATTGAAACCGAAAGGGCGAACAAAGTGCAAGGAACGCTTATATGAAAACCATCTACGTCGTTTTCATCTATATAGAAACATGGGCAACAGGTGTATGATGAATAGAAGAATGAGTACTCCATCAAATGAGATTCTCGGCAACAACAGTAGCAGCCGCTAAACATAGAAATCGAGTCTTGCTTCATTTGTGAGCGTGTGTACGTGTAAGTTGGAGCCTTTGAATCACTCATCTCACTCATTCCATCTGAGAGACACAGTGAAGTAGAGTAAATTGTTGGAACATTGTCTTGATAAATGCGAAAAATTTGAACCGACTATCAATTTTAATTCCAAACAAACTGAAACTTATTAGTACTACAAACAGACTTTGAATGGGATCCACTTTCTTTTTTTTTTTGGTTTTTCTCACTCTCTATGAAAATGCAATTCAAAATGCATATTTTATTTGTTTGCACGACAAAAGGTATCCGTTCATTTTCTGTGCTCCTTGGTCACTCACATTCGGTGTCAATTTCCAATAATAATGACTGACCACACGGTTTTTTTTCTGCATCTTTTTGTCACCATTTATGCATCTATGAATGAAGGCTCATTCAATGCAGAGATAGACAGCGATTTATTCATTTTCCGGTATTGTTTTTCAATCCGCGATGAATTACACCCATTTTTTGCCGGAAAACTGTGTTGCGTTCGGCTTTGAGGCTGAGATTCGTTTCGCATGTAGTTTTTTTCATCGTTAACATACAATTTCAGGTGTTCGTTGTTTTTATTTCTTTTTTTTTTCGCCATCGTGTGTATATGTGTAGTAACACACATGTATTTTTCTATGTGTGCTTTTTATTTCTCATGCTGAAAATCGATTTAATTATTCGGTGTTATTTCACGCATTCGTGTCGAACGGTAGTTAAAACTGTGGTATTGATGGCAAATGTGCGACTGTGTGGCGGAGTAAATTGTCAATTAAACGAAATGAAAATGCATTAAAAAAAAACGCACAACGAACGAAAGACTGAATTTGTGCTTTGTCATGAGATTTTCAGCACGATTTAATTAAAATAATTTAGATTGCTTTGCGAAACGGCCTTCCTTGTGCTGTTCCACGGTATTTGTGTTATGGCGTCACAGATCAGCCGAATTCACATTTGTCAGAGAGCAAATTCACTTTGGTACATACGATATTCGCAGCAACCGCAGTAGTGGAGTAATGTGAATAAAAAGCAAACACAAAATATGTCAGTGAATTGAGATCTTGGACGAGAGATAGCAGGTAATGACAACAATAACACATCGTATTTCAATAGGTTTTTTTTTATTTTGATCCAGGGCCAGAGCATTCATTCCATTCACACGGAAAACTCGGTTGAAAATTGCGGATTGACATTGCACACAGTACAAAAAGATAGAATTTCAAATGGGCTGCAAATGAATAGCATGTGTCGGGTTGTTGGGCGTGTTTGCTCTCTTTTTTTTTACTTCTCTCTATCAAAAACTTGAATGCCACACACTAAATTATTGCATATAAATGATTTGAAAAAAAAATGTATATTGTATTCAACACTGAGAAGAGCAATGAAATGTACCGACCACGAAATTATGTTCTCTGTGGTTGTGTACTTCGAAAAAAAAAAAAACATTTGTGTGTGCCAAGCATAACCAAGTACATATATACTCTATCCATCTTAAATTGCCGAAAATGTAATTTTGTTGCGCATTGACATTTGCTTTCAGAAAAACTTTCGAGGCATTTAACGAAGGAGAAAAAAAACCCGACAGCAATGAAAAACTACCACATACACAATGTCGAATAAATCAAATTTAAAACTAATTTTGCCCGAAACAATGTTCAAGAAGTTTTTTTATTTCATGTGCTTTTTTTAACAACAATGTTTTCAATTCACTATTATCTAAGCGATTAATTTGTTGAAGTTGTTTTATTTCGAATTTATTTGCTGATAGAATGCGGCAAGTCAGGAAAATATATAACAAACATAAATTTCGAATGAGCCTGAATAAAACTCTATTAGAACATACAAAACACGCAACAAAAAGAAAGAGAGAGAGAGAGAGAGAGAGAAATTACGTTGAATTTTCAATCTTTCGTGCTTCGTCTCATTTGTTTGCGACTTTTGGGCCGTATGGTAGACAAGGAATGCCAATGAATCAAAATGCAATACGCGTTTACGCACCAACGACAGTAATGCGACTCAGCCGAAAGAGAGAAATAGACTCGTGAACCCAGAGAAAGAGAGGGAGAACAAAAACGCATACTTTAAGCTCGGTTGATATGGTGAAATAGTAACTTGAGCAATGCGATGAAAATAATGGGACCGATTATTTTCGAGAGCGAACAAACGAAAAATGGAACGCTGTCATCAACCGCCCGAATAAAAAATAAAACGAAACACGTATCGATAGAATGAATCTAGCTAAAGCAAATAGGTGAGGAGTTGACGCCAAACTATCATTTTGATAAATGATTTTCATTGAGTGACTCAGTGAAAATTGGAATCATTTATTAATTTCATTTCAAAAGCGTTGAATTTTCGTTTTGCATTTTGAAGATATATATATGTGTGTGCGTGTGCGTTGTCAGAGTTTCCTGAGTTGGCCATTTTTGTTTTGTTGAATAAACATCTAGGTATTTTGTCTTCTATTTCAGCTCAAATTCCATGCTTCCTTTCTTGATGTGTTTCCTTCAATGCATTATTATGTGTCATTATACTTGATACGCTCTCTGCCAATTGCCTGAGAGGATAGAATGAAGCGAAAATGCGAATAAGAAATGACAGTAAAAGAGATCGAATCATACCAACGAAACAGAAATGAGCACTCTTTTTCAAAATGATACTTGAAATTGAGACGGATATAAAATGAAGTTTTGATATCAAATATTATCGTATGTCAAATTTACTTAAAATAGCGAAAATCCATTCGATTCAGTTCAAGGTAAATCATACACTCTCTCTTTCTCACTTTTTCTCTTTCACTCGATACACTCGCTGGCTCATTCTCTTTGTTTGGAGATCGAAAGCAATGAACATCCATACATCGAGAATATTCACAATCTCATCATTGTGTACAGAATACATATCTCCATTTCTTGTCGATGTTAACATATACTTTAGATCGAATTGCAACTAGTAATTTTCATTCTTCGATCTAACGTAACGAAATCGTGTTGAATTTCCACACAGACACACAGAAAAATGGAATTGAATGCAGAACAACGAAATCGATCAACGACGATTATGCGAACGACACTCAATATCAATTGAATGTGTTCAATAAAAACGTAACACGGATCGACATTAGGGTACGTTGTGGAAAATCATTTTTGATATGTTTGGCCGAAAAAAAAAATATGGATGGCAATCAAATCGATCAGATTTAAAGATTGAAAAACAAAATTCAAATGATCATATGAAATATTCAACATGTGCTGTACGTAGCATTGAGAATGTGAGAGACATTTTGAAAAGAATGTTTTTTTTTTAATGTTGAAGGGGATATATTGAATTCATTGCTGTGATGGCTTCGATCAACCGAAACTTCGGTTTAATTTGAGCAATAAAAGGTAATCGATTCAGTTTGTTTGAAAAATAATACAATGCTCTCTATTCGAGCATCGAAAGAAAACGGAAAATTAGTGAACTGATTCTAAATAATACAGAAAACAAATCTTTTTTGCGTCACACATAATATATGATAATGATGAATCGCTTTTTTACTACCAAAAAAAAATAATCCAAAAATCGTATGACTGAAACCATATACTGATGGAACTGCTTCGAAGTTCGAGAGTAGAAAAAAAAATCCAATGAGATTTTGGAATTTCCCCCTCAAAAAAAAGGTGATCAAATAAAATTTCGGATTGAAAATTAGCGTTTTTTGGTTGGATTTGGTGCAATCATGGATTTATAGGTTTGAACATATATTTCAAAATCACAGAGTTTACTCGAAGTGACTGTGAACAGCCCAAATAAAAATAAAAAATAAACACGAAGAAAATGAATACAATGAATTGCGCGCACAATGAGGCAATCGCATACTAAGAAACCCAAAAATAAAAACACAAACACACAGAGATAATCAAAAAAAAAATAAAACAGAGACCAACCAAACACAAACAACACATTCTTATTCACGTTAAAATTGAAATAAAAGAAGCAAAATACACCGAAGGAAAACGAGCATATATAATTTTAATACACTCTTCTTATGAATATGAAAATAAAACATAAATTCGCGCTGGAACGGATATATTATTAATATCGGTTTGAATATTTCTCTTTCTTTCTCAGTTTGGTTTGGTTTGGTCGCGGGTTGTGTGTTATTTCTTCTTCTTAATATTCTCTGCTGTTTTCTTAATGGGTGCGCGTATAAGAGTGGATCTTTGGCTTTTTGATTCATTGTCTGTGTGTGTGTGTGTGTGCATATGAAACAAGTGTGACTATGATAACAACTAATGCCACAACAACATCACCCATACATTGAAAATTGCCATGTTTCTGTGCTCTCTCTCTCTCTCTCTCTCTCTCATATTTGCGTTCATTTTTATTCTGTGTCTGTTTCAATGCCTCTGTATGGATCTCACTCTCTCATTGGCCTCACAAATGGCAACGACAAACGATGAATAACACACCGTTCGAACCTTTTGCTACTTAATACAACACCATAAATAAACTCGTATGTAATCATTTATTATCATTTATATAAATATTTATAAAATACATATTCCATAAAGTCAGAGCACATGTATTAAATTTATTATTATTTCTTTTCGTTCCATTACTTTTGTTTGACTCTCTCTCTCTCTCTCTATCTCTTTTTTTTATGTTTTCATCGTTGGGCGCGCGTGTTTTTTTTATTTTCTCGACCAAAATGAAAAGCGAAAGAGAGCGAAAAAGCTAACAAATGAACTTCTTTTCATTTTTAAATATTAGTCTTTTTGTGCTATGTGATGTGCTTATATATTTTTTTCGGCTATATATGTTCACCAACTGTTTTTCGTTTTTAGATTTTATATTGAAATATGCACGAAAAAAGAGGCAATGGCTCACCAAAATAATGTGTTTGCGTATGCGCATTGAGTTTAACGGCTCGGTTATGTTCGGTGCGAACGTATGCTATGCATATAGAATCACCGAATAAAATTTGCCGCACACTCGCTCATTTGCAATGCATTGCGTTTTCGGTGCCAATGATCGATGATGACTTTTCATTTTAGCTTTATCAAATGTGTCGAACTGAAAACGAGCCAATTATCGAAATGTCAATTATTCAAATACAAATCAACAATTATTTGAAAGCGCCACCCCCCCATTTTATGTTGGAATCGTTTATGCTCATTTTCACATTTTAATTGTTTTCTAATTGCTGACAGACCAGCTCTTTTCCATTCAAATATCATATCATTTATCCTGTCTTGCTTATTATTCTGTTCTAATTTTCATTTAGAAATCCAACTGATGTATACATATCTTCGAACAAATCATTTTATGTCCAACTATTGAATTAATTATTATTGAGTATATATCCGTCTTTCATTATTCTATGCAATCAACCGTAGCTCCCATGTATGCATACAAATTATAAAGTATTAAAAAAAAAAGAAATACATATTTATGAGAAGAGGAAAAAACTTCTTTTTTGTATTTTTGTTAAATATTAAAATGCATCTGACTTTTAATCATCAATTGATAACTGGAAAGAAGAATGATATTACACTGTGTAGTGTGTTTTTTTGTGTATGAATAATTTCTTCTTGATAAATGGATATAATAAAATGAAAAGGTATGGCACCCAATTGTTAAATATTAATACAATTATTCTTTTGAAGTTTGGAAACTTTGTTAAATTTTTGTATGCATGAAAAATGACAAATCATTACACGCTTGATTCGTTTGTATATCCTGCTCGATCCCCGATGTGACAAGATAAAAAGTAAAAGCGACCGTAAGAAAGGAGATAGAATGAAGGGGGCGAACGGAGTGCCGAAGAGTTGATTTTATGTAGGGTCATCTTTATAATTTATGTCAGTTTGTTTTTTCTCTGTTTCTTTTATCAAACAGAAATGGCGCTTCAGTTATTTGGTCAACAACCGTATTAAAAAAAAACCACTCGAAATGGATACACAACATTTTGCACACAACAAATAAGCACACCATCCGTGACAATGACACAAAATTCATTTTTTTTTGTTTGGCTTAAATTACTTGGAGCAATGAGAAATTCCGTGGAAACGATGAACGAACGGTGTGCTCTCAACGATCTGAACGGTTCAAGGAAAGGAAGCAAATGAAAGAGAGCGGACAATTGTCAAAGAATTCTATGGAATAAGTAAATGCATACACATGTGAAATGTGAATCGGTGAAATTATTTATCCTCAAACACAAATAGAGAAAAGTTATAAACATTTCTATAGTGGAATGAATAACTATTAAACCGAATATATAATACAAAATTACAATGAACAAAAAATAACGAATTGAAAAAAAAGAGAAAGAAAGAACAGAAATACTAAATGCGGCAGCAGCAACAGCAGCAAATACAACTAGAATGTTACAATTTCGTATGGTGAGTTACGTATAATTACAAATTGAACCATATAATTTATGGTAACGCGAGAACGTGTATAATATGCTTTAAAAGTTTTTTCATGTTGTTTTCCTGCTTGCGCAAGACAGTGATAGCTGATAGGTATGGATGAAGGGCGTACAATCCAGAGAGTTGAACAGAGATAGCGCACACACTACACACGGGGGGGAAAATACTCAAAAATATACTGTGACTTGGTGTGTGTGTGTGTCTATACAAAATGTGAATCGTTTTAAATTGTGTATGATGACGCGCGGGTATTTTGTGCAATGGGTGATCACAAAAAAATAGCATAGCTAAAGTGGAAATGATTGAACATAGTTTCCATGCACAACAAAACAGCACAATCCTCGTCTCTCTCTCTCTCTCTCTCGCTCAGAGTCTCCATCTCGTTCAGCCTTCATATATCACCTCATATATTATACACGATTAATTGTTTATTTTTGTCATTTATTTTAAATTATTTTATGAATTTCCATTTTCATTTTTAGTTGAGTCGTACATTGAGAGCGACATACGTTACTTCAATGAAGTGTATTTATATATATGTGTGGTGTATAGTGGGTGCCTTTTTTGTGCTATGCAATTTATATTTTGGATTTTATTAGGATTGGAACGGGGCAACATTTGGCTTATTACAAATTTGTTATGCATACATAAGTGTTTGCATTAAGAGTAAAAAAGTGTTGTTTTTTTTCGTCATCGTTGTTGAATGAATTTTGTGTTCAATTCAGTGTATTTGAATTCGACGTAACTGCCGTATCATCGAGAGTAACCATACCGAATTCAAGTATGGATAATGATGAAAAAGTGAGAAAGAGAGAGAGAGATCGAAATGAAGCGATATATAATTTTATTTTTTATTCGAATTCTCTCTCTGTGGTTGTATCATATATTCGATGAAACATGACTGTAAAAACACGTTCATAAACCAAAATAAATAGCAAAGCCACCAAACAAACAAAAGAATTTTTACGTTTTTTTTTGTTGTCATTAATGTTCTGAATTTATCGCCACCACTATAACTTGTTTATCATCGAAACCATTTTTACATGGGTCTTCTCTTTCACAATATTATTGTCCGTCCAATGATCAGAAACATTGTTCGTGAATCACGACGAAGAGCAAACGAAAGAGACGTGTGTACGTGTATAATCACATCGCATAAAAATCTATTTTTTATTTCTCGGCATTCAAATATTTATTTGAGTTTTGGACTTTTGAATATCGTCTTCAAAATCGTTTTCTTCCTCTATCGGTGTGTGTGCGCTCGCGCGCTGGAGGTGTAGATTTAAAAAAAAAAAACAGGAACCGCACACGCAAGTAGGCCTTACATCATCTAAAATTGCATTTTGGCTAATTTTTAGATTAGATGTAGCAACTGATCAACGGTTACAACCAAACAAAAACCATTATTTTATTAATAAAAAAAAATCACCGAATAAAAAGAGAAACGCATTCGGTGATGATAATAATACGACCGAACCGAATTTTAAACAAACCGAAAGAAGAGAAGGAGAAAAAAAGAAACGGAACGCGAGCATTTTAAATCTACCGTAAATTAATGATATTTATGACTGCAAAACAAAATTCAATGAGACTGTTGATCGCTAAACAACCATTGATATTGCAAAAGATACACGGTCAAAATTGTGCGATTTAAAAAGCCAGTCCAGAAATGAGAACGACACAACGAACAGGCGCTTACCGATAGAGACAGATGAAGAAAAGAGAAAAAAATGAAATGAAAGGAACAGAAAACGAGAGGAAAATCATTAAATAAAATGATGTATTAATAGTGTGTAATATATAAAATGTTTTCATTTCGAATGAATATCATGAATAACTGGCCTGACGAAAACCACCAACAACAACTGGATACAAAACAAACATATCAAAACAATGAGCCGAAAAAAAAATGAGAACTGTAGCTTGTTCCCAATCGGTCATTATAGACACGAACTATCGCGACAACAACGATAATGAAGCGACAGAAAACAAAACGCATTATATTAATATAAATTCTGTTAAATTCTCCTATCAAGAGAGAAAGACAAGTTCTCACACTCACTCTAAATACGAAAAATTCACTCTACACACTTATAACTCACTCGCTCAATGACGGTTAAATTAACAAAATAACACGAACGCACTATACCAAATTTAAATCAATCAACGAGGAAAAATATAATGAGCGCATATACATTTTTTTTTGTTCTCTGCGTTCTTTTTTCTATACTATTTAATTAAAAAAAAACGTACACATTGTTTTCGTTCTGTTTCATTTTATTGTATATGCTTATGTATATTGTTACTCACTTTTTCACCGAAGAATTTGAATTTCATTCACTCGAACTTCGTCGTTTACTCTTGTTTATTAATTTGAAAGAGAAAAAAAACGGTAAGTTACATTCATATGTGGCCTATGTCTCTTATTTCGCATTTATGTGAATGAATGTGTGAATATGCGAAATAAGCAACGAAACAGCAGAAATGTGTTCTTTTAAATTCCTCTTCTGTGATTGTATTTCGTATTAAAATACACATTGAATATTCACTTCTCGTTCAATGTGGTGTAAACAAAAAATCGCCAATTGTTTATATTGTCTTTCTGTCTCTAGCTCTTTCTCTCACTGTTTTACAATAAAAAGATACGGCACACTCTCTATACTGTGTCTATATGTATTTAAAGTCTTTAAAAGTCTATTTATATTTAAACTCACGCTATTATTTACGTTTTTGGTACTGTTTTTTTTTATTTCGTGCTTCGTCTCATAAAACTTTATGAAACACAAATCAATCATTTCAAATTTCAGTATTCGGTTTGTTTCTTTCGCTTTTTTCTCTCTCTGGTCTTCGGTGTGATATTTTTATTATTATTATTATGTATATTCTGTTTCTGAAGAAAAAAAAACACACCGAGAAACAATATCGGTTTGTTTTCTCTCTGTTCTGTATTTGTAATTTAATGTTGTCTCTCTCTCCGTATTTTGTTTAATGAGTATCTTGGTTTTTTATTTAATTTCGAACGAAACAAACAAACGAAGACAAAAAAAAAGAACAAAATATAAAAATCGAACCACACACACAAAACTGATTACAAAAATGTGAAATACACTCTGGTTTTTTATGACTTTTTTTTATCGGTTAGCCGTGTAACGATGTGCATTGAGAAGTGCTCCGTATGACGGTCAACCGTCAACTGAATGTTGAATTCGGCTGAAAGTGTTTTCTTTGAATATTGTTCACAGTGTCAGTGGTCTCCTTATCCTCTGTGAATGCGACTACATATGAACGCTTGTGTGCGTGCGTGTCTCTCATAACTAGTCTATGTCTGTGTAGCATTTCAATTACACTATCCCATCGATGTGTTTAATTTTTTCCGATTTGACTGCTGCTGCTGTTGCTGTTGTTGTTTTTGCTTTTCTTTTGCTTTGCTTATTACTACCTCTTCTTCTTCGAAAATATCTTGCCTTCAGTCTGTGCCCTGGTCTGTGAATATGTGTGCCGTGCCGTTTACCACATCAACATGCGAAGCAGAAGAGTTCGATGGATGCGTCAACATGTGAATAATGTCTGGCGCACATGTGTGCGTGTTATGCGATAATGTTAGACCAACGAACCTAAACACACTACAACAACATAAGCAGCAGAAGCAGCGGCGGCGGTAGCAACAACAACAATATCGAGAGAGAAAAAAAAGAACGGGAAAGAACCCAAAGCACAAGGTACTTGTGCATTATGCAAGTGTACGTTGTATACGTAGTACACACGGAGCAACAACGGCAACAATAATAATAACAACAATGTAAAGACGGGCACGGCACACGTATGGTGTAATACAGAGACTAACATTTATGATACACAAAACTACCTACAATAAAATTGATTTTTTCATTTATACCAGGGACTGATCCTCGGAGAAGGATGAAAATGAGGCGGACGAAGAGAATCAGTTCTTGACATTGAATACTTTTCATTTTCTTGTTTGAAAAATGGGTAATTTTGAATAGCGAAATTAACGCAAACATAGAAAACCAAAAGAACACCCGAGATATTCAAAATTGCAAATTTAATAAAGTTTATATTTGAATGGACTTTTACGGATTGAGTACTTTCAATTTTAATTCGTTCCAATGGTCGTCATATTAGACACTGCAGTAAGCCGTGCTTGTAAACAGACGGTATGCGGTATGCATGTGTATGTATAGCAGTAAATGCTACGTTATTGCTGTGTTGTCATTAACCAGCTGGGGAAAAGGAAACGTGAATTATCGTCATTGTGCCGAGCTATGCACAAACACAAACACTACCACACTCAAATATATGATCCATATGAGCGCGTATGAGAACTAAACAGAATGAGAAAAATAAAATCAACAATGATTGCTTATATACACACTTCTTCCTTATCGGCTTTATACATGGAATAAACATTTTTGATGATGATTGCGTGTATGTGTGCGTGAGAGAGTTTATGTTTTTTTTTTGGCGTTTACATTAAATACTCTTCTCGCTGCTAATACTGCTTTTTTGTGCACACAAGGTTGATTGGAACAGTGTGGCGCGCGCGTGTGTGTGTGTCTCTGCATGTATTTTTCTCATTTCGTTGTCGAATTCTATGCTACGGATAATGTTGTACAAAGCAATATTCGTTTTACTTTTTTTTGGATATTCATGGACCTAGTGCCAATTGAGCACCATGCGGCCAGTTTGTACTGGGTGTCTTTAAAAGTAATTTTGTATCTCTTTTCTTTGATAAACAAAATTCGAGTTTTTCTAACTTATTTTTTATTTTTCTCAATATTTATTTGAAACAGAAAAAAATGAATATTTTGAATTTTTTCTAATTAATTTGGTTTTCTTCGAATAAAGCTGTTTTGAAAATGAAAAATTCGCAGAAATTCTTCATAAAATAAATATTTTTTTGAAAATAACATTCCATATTAAACACCCGGTTGAATATATTGCGAAAATATTAAATGTAGATTTTGAAGGAGCGTACGCGTTTGGTCTAGATAATTTTTGTTGTGTTCATCTGTGTAATGCTTTCGCTCACTCAGTCATGTTCACAACGTAAGTGCACAAAGCGAGTGCGAGTGATGCGATTGTTTGCGTTTGCGTTGCGTATGTATTTGAGTGTTAATGACATTTAATGAAAAATCTATCGTAAAAACGGCATGGTATTTGTGTCGCGCATTGTTTTCCTTGTTGTTGGCACATTGATTCGTTTTACGAGAACTTAAAACATATTATCCATCGGACTTTATATCTGTTATATGGTTCGTTCACTTGCTCTCGCTCTTTCCCATCGTGGCACGATTGAAATTGACGAAACCGCAAAGTATGGCACATACATGCATTGACATCGATGGCACTGTGTTTTTATTTTGATTTTTCATCGGTGCTTTTGTTTGTCTGTGCCACACTCCGTTTGCCCGTCTCTCTCTCTCCGTCTTTCGCACAAAGTCTTAATAAGTTTTGAGCTTTTTGTGATGAGCCGTCTTCTTGGTCGGAACGTTCGGCTCGTAATTTGATTGTGAACAAAAATTCAATATGTGTAATCATCATTTGCTCGTCGTGTTCTTATGTACATCGGACCAAATACATACTGGGCTGGTGGATTGTATGGAGAATTGGTGCCTGCAATGTGATGATGATCTATGCATTGTTGAGATTTTATTCCAACATACTTGTGTCAACCGCACATTTTATGCCGTGTGCTCGTTTACATTGTAAATCCCATTCGTTTTATTTCATCCATGAGTCCCCATGTAAATGTGGATAATTTGTTTTATTTTTTGGTATCGTTTTTTGTTCGTAAATCTTGTTCGTTTTTTAATTTTTTTCAATGTAAACTTTTACAAATATCTAACTTTTTTGGTTGCATACACATATACATGATGAAAGCAGTACGTGCGATCAAAGTTTCTTTTATTCGTTCATTTTATATCCTTTGTTGAAAAGATGCAAATGTTCTTAGTCGTTGTTTGAGTGCCAACGAATTAAATTCTAATCAAGTGCTGCGTTGAAAAAGAAGAAAGAACAAACGAATTGAATTCACATCTTATTCGCTCTCTCACACGCCAATATTCAATTGAAAACTATGTGTGTGTGTTTCTCTTTTTTTTACTCTCACAAAGTGCGCACAAAAAAACGAAGAATTATCCCATGCAAATTGAATGAACATAAATTACAAATGAATGAGTTGATTTTCATATAGAATGGAATATGGCTTCTCTCTATACCGCCTGTGCACACGTCTTTCGTTCTCTATCTATGTGTATGGAATTATTTTGGTTGGCGTGCTCGTTTTTATATTCATCTGCCTGATGTGATTTGATTCGGTGAATCTCTGCGTGAGTGTTCTCGGCGCGCTGATACACACACAAAGACATGCATGCATTTACAAAACAACTGAAATGACTGGCCTTAAAATTCTATAACACGTTTACAAAGTTGTACGGTATTTTGAAAATTTTACAAAACGACGATAGATCTCCTCCACCACCACCACCGTCATCACCACCAGCAGCAGCAGCGGCAATCATCACCCACACAAGCATGCAACGCGAACATTCGTTCACATTTATCGCTTGACAAAGTGTATTTTCCCTATTTTCCCATTCATTTCACGCGCTTTGAATGTAATGGTGATGTTGGTGGTGGTATACGATTTAGGAGATTCTTTTCATTCGAATGGAACACTCTATGAATAAATTTTGGTCGTCCGTATTCCGACCATAGAACATCCACATCGCATGCACTAAGTAAGAGTTGTGAATACAAAATAAACTAGAATCAATGCCACAATCCTTTCTGACTCTGTTGATATCCGTGTGTACGGCTGTAAGATGCATTTTTTCGCTTTTCTTGCAACAGCTGCTCATTAATGTGATTTTGAAGATAGCCAGGGTTTTTTTCGCCAAGTAAAGAACACTTATAAAAGCCCAATAAACGAAAATAATAATAAAAAAGAAAAAAACAAACAGAATTCCCTAATGTGAAGCAAAGGTGCTCATAAAATTGAGCTAATACAAAACCGATATGGCACAGCGTGCTTGATGTTCGCTCTTGCGTCTCTCTGGTGGCAATTCAAATATATCAGTATGTGTGGATCTTAGTCGTTGTGTGTTTTTTTTTGCCATCAGGGTGCATTTCTTGCACGCCATACCGACCATCTTTCGTAAGCAGCGATAAAATAGCGCAACGCATTGCGTCTATAGAACAAGTGAGAACGAAACGTGTGCGATATCGATGCGACATCAAACAAAACCAACGTATCTAAAGCACACACTCATACATAAAAGAGTAGAAAATAAAAGCAAAACGTTCGAACGAAGAAATAACAACAGAATGTTATGAAGGAAACGGTAATAAATATTCGGTAATTGCAACAGCAACGGTCGCGCGCCGTTTACACACAGCACACACAAAGAGTCGTCTCTATTCAAAGTGACTCGAGATGGAGTGTGCTTGCCCAAAAATGACTAGGGCAAATGTGGAATATAGAGTAAAATACGATAAAAAAAGAGACCGTATGCAAGTGTATGTTCGATCGCTAGTTTACATTTTATTTTATCATCTAAAGAAAGGGAATACTGTAAAGAGCGTACACCGAAATGGAAATCGGCGGAGGAGAACCTAAAAAAAGCGGGGAATCAATACTTTGTTCGAACATTACATTGAGATGATAAAAAAAAGGAAAGAGACGGAGAGAGGGGGAACGAAAGAAGCCAGAGCGATTGAGTTAGGGAAAGTGAATATGTGTTTGTGCAATCTCCAATGTGAGAGTTAAATTGTCTCGTATTTTTTTTGGTAGGTAGTTTTGGAATCATTTTGAATAGACATTCGATACCATGGACTCAGAATGCTCACACTACAAAGAGAAAAAAAAACAACAACTGAA